TTCCTTGCCTCTCTACACTTCTCTTCTCACACTGTTGGTCTACACTCATAACAATCAAATTGATGCATTTTTATTGCATGAAAGGATGCAATCGTTCAATTGAAATAAGGAAAACAAGGAAGAAAAACTTCTCATCCCGACTTTTAGCGCAGAGGCATTATACTCACATCTTAGAGTTGAATTCTCTGTCTTGCAATGACAGGGCGCTGTGAACGACATTGTTGTTCTACATGCCCTGTGTTGAACACTCGGTTCATTTGCAGCTCTAGACTTGACTATTCGTCTGGTGCACTTGATTTACTTTTTTTTCATTCATGACTGCATGAGCGGAGGAAATTACCCAAAAAATATATATAACAAAGAGATTAATTTGAAAATATTTTAATTATTTTATAACAAATTAAACCCAAATAGTTGGGTCTAAGCTATATTTTAGACCCGACTATTCGACCGGTTTGCTTGGTTTGCTTGTCTCATGCATGCGCCGGACGAAATTAGCCAAAAAATAATAATAATAAAGAAATTAATTTGAAAATATTTCATTTCTAATGTATAATAATGCAAACAAAACTGTAAACAAAATTTAAAATTGATTAATATTTAAATGGGCTGAGGCCTGGAAAACAGGATTCGATCTAAGCTTACAGAATTATGGGCCTTCATATTATAGTTTACATATTATGCATAAGTTCTAACAGTCTTTAACTTTCATTCAAATTAAACTTTGCTGACTCAAAAAATGTTTTTTTTAAATATAAATTAAAGAGATGATAAAATAAATTTGCTAAGTTAATTTTCACTTTTCTTTATTCAAAATTTTGAGAAGCTAAAAACAACGTCAAATCTATATCCCACTACACAGAGTCCGCTACATGAACATTTTCCTCCATTATGTTCTATTAAGAGAACAATACCTTAATTTTTTGAGTTCAATAATGTAATATTTTAATTTACAAAAAAATAAACAATGAAAATTAAAACAAAGCTTCTATATTATGCACATATTCTTGAATTTATGTTTATTTTTTTTTTCTACTTTTTAATATTTATACAAAAGCAGAATCAAACATATTTTTGTTTTAAATAATAATAAAAGAAATAAAAACTAATAATAAATCAGGGTTTCACAACACTTTTTATGACATACTGCAACGGCTTAAGCACATACTAATTTATTTGCAGTAGTTTAGGAACTGCTGCAAATCCGTTTCAAATCCGTTGTATTTGTGTTCACTAGAAAGGCTTTAGCAACGATTTCAGCACTGCTGGAGGAAGGCTTTAGCGACGCTAGCTTTTAGTAAGGTTAAAATCGATACTGAAGGTCAACACAAATTAATATATACATAATGCCAAAAAACCAAATTTTGTGCTCAAATTACAAATATCAATAAAATACTATGCAAATATAAATTGAGTGAATATTAAGAGCATGTAAATCTTATGTTCAATGTGTCCAAGTGATTATAAACTAATAAGAACTTGAGAAAACTAACAAGCAGCTCAAGAGCCATATAAACTAATAACTTGAGAAAACACAATCAAATTGACGTACAAAAAACTCAACAAGATAAGCACTTATCATGGATATTGGATAACTACCACAAGAACAGAAGGTGTAACAACCACATCCAATACAAATGTAAATCTACAACAATCAAATAAAACAATGATATATTAGAACTTCAAAGAGTTTCAATGACCTATTCAATCAACATTAACATAATCATCACCAACTCCGAGAATGAAGACTTCATTGGGTCAACTCTGTGGTGTAAGATTGCCTTATATGATTGCAAAAGAAGTAATATATTAGTTAGTGATTTTCAATGATTGTATAAGATAGCCCTTTATGATTGTATATAAGATAGCCATATATAAAAAAGAAGTTAACAAAACAAACCCACAATAAAGAGTTTCAATGAAGATATCAAACATTTCACCATAGCCCTCAGACCTAGTGCTACATACCAAATTCATAGTTACTTTAGAGTAGAGACGCAAATGTCGCAGTGGCATTTTTTAGCGCGGTTGTGCTCTCAAATCTAGCGTCGCAGCACTCCAAAGAATAGCGCCAGCTTGTTCCAGTTCAAAAAAAAAAAATCCATTTTATTATTATTATTATTATTGTTATTATTATTGAGTTTTGAATCTTCCAATGGATTATAATAATCTACAACTTGCACATCCATAGTATCACTAACTTTCATGTGAAATGTTCATATTATTACCTAGATTAGTAGAAGATGGTGAACTTATTGCCTTACACCATTGTAATCTTTTTTAAAAATAACAGTGACACATTTTAACCTATGCTTAATGGATATTATAAAGTTGTTGAAAAAAAAAAAGCAATATCTTCATTTGCGAGGAGCTCAATTAGAGGATTAGACAATTTTAGATAAACAATCCATTATTGACATTAATCATTTTGCATATAAGATTAATGTATGGTTGAATCCACCTTAAGGTCGGGGGGACGGCAATTGCCCCCATGAAAAAAAAAATCTTTATTAAATGATTCTTTAGGTAATTTATCCCCATCAATGTATTTTGTAGTCTTTATTACAACGATGTTTAGGCAATTGGCCCCCACTCCTAAAAGTTTTAAAATACTACGGTCTTTAGGCAATTGTACAAACATAATTAAACACAATGTGTAGAGATATTATTATTAGAGAACGATGAACCAAATATAAAGAGAAATAATAAAGATAATCCAAAAATATTCTTACAACAATGAACAAATAAGGGTCGAACCCCGTAGGGGGAGCTGCCCCCTTGGGCCCCCGACATATCTGCAAAGTGTACAACAATGAACAAATAGGAGTCTAGAGGTAGCGTCCTCGAAACAAATTTTGTTTGTAAGGATATTTATGAAAAAAAAAACTCTACACTTTTACTTAAAAGGGAAGTTCTGTCTCATTAATGTGATTATCAAAGGAAATATTTTTATGTATCTCCAATCATTTACTATGTTTTCCAACAAATATCTAGCATGCATGCATGTCTTCATTATATTCTCCTTTATATAAGACAAGAATGTTGATATTTGATTTACCTAAAAAATATTTTGTGAGTCTATAACCTCCTTATTCTTCAAACATAGATTGAAATTATTATAACTGTTGTGTCCTAGAATATCCATGGGGATAGAGAAATATAAAGTTTAATGTTTTAGCTTTGTACGAAGATCCAACACACAAATATATGAAAGATAGAGGTATAAAGTTCATAAGAGACACTAAGATTTTTATGTGGAAAACTCTAAAAAGGAGAAAAATCATGGGGCCTGACCTAGTTTGAATGAATTCACTAATGTTAGTAGTTGATTACAAATGAGGCCCTTCCTTAGGAGGAAGGTCGTGGCTTGATGTAGCCAATACACATCATATATAGTGCGTTACATAGTGGGAGTTGGAAGAACCCGTGTTGATAGGTTTGCTTAGTAAGTATAACCACAATCAGCGAGCAATTTAGACCAAAATGATCGTAGTCGGGTGACGGTGGTCGAAAGGACCATAGTAATGCAACGGAGGTCAAAAAGACCATAGTTGGGAGGTGAAGGAGGTCAGAAAGATTGTTGTTAGGTGACGACAGTCGAAAAGATCTTAGTCGACAATGGTGATCAGGAGGAAATCCAACGATAATCAGTGGACAGACGTAAGTCTGACAATAGTTGGTGATCGAGCGAAAGTCGGCAAAAGCCCAATGACAATAAGGGGCAGGGCGTAAATCATGCATCAATTGGTGGTTGGGCGAAAGTCTAGTGAAAGTTTGGTGTAGTTGGTGGCCGGGCCAAAGTCCAATAATAATTGGTGGCCGGACATAAGTCCGACAACAATTGATGGTCAGACAAAATTCAATTGACAGGTAGTACTCGAGGAGGAACTTTGTGGCAAGAGAGATCGCAAATGTCTCTTCCTCTCCTCTCTTATTTCCTTCATTCTCTTCCTTGTAAGTCTATAACCTCATTATTCTTCAAACATAGATTGAAATTATTATAACTGTTGTGTCATGAAATATTCGTGGTGATAGAGAAATATAATGTTTAACGTCTTAGTTTTGCACGAAGATCCAACACACAAACAGATGAAAGTTAAAGGTATAATGTTTATAAGAGACAAAAAGATTTTTATGTGAAAAATTCTGAAAATGAGAAAAATCATGGAGCTTGGTCTAGTTTGAATGAATTCACTAATGTTTGTAATTGATTACAAATGAGACCCTTCCTTGGGAGAAAGGCTTGTGCTCGATGTAGCCAATATACATCATATAGAGTGTATTACATAGTGGGAGTTGGAAGAATTAGTGTTAATATATTCGCTTAGTCGGCAGGATCATAGTTAGCGAGCGATGTAGATCAAAAGGATCGTAGTCGGGTGACAGTAGTCTGAAGGGACCATAGTCATGCAACGGAGGTCAAAAAGATGATAGTTGGAGAGCGACGAAGGTCAGAAAGATCGTTGCCAGGTGACGATGGTTGAAAAGATCGTAGAAGAGGAAATCCAGCGATAATCGGTGGTCGGTCGTAAGTCTGGAGGCAGTTGGTGACCTAGCAAGTCAGCAAAAGCCCGACGATAGTCGTGGTTAGGGCCTAAATCACAAGTCAATTGGTGGCTGGGGAAATTCTAGTGAAAGTTTGGGGTCAATTGATGGCCGGGCGAAAGTCCGATAATAACCAGTTGCATGAAATAAGTCCAACAATTGTTGGTAGCCGGGCAAAAGTCAATTGTCAGGTGGTGATCATGGAGGAGCTATGCGGCAAGAGAAATCATATATGTCTCTTCCTCTTCTTTTTTTCTTTTTTTTCTTTCACTTTCTTGTTTGATCCCCGCGTGTTAGTCAGCAGATTTGATTAAGTTTGAATTTTGATTGAAGGCGATCAAATAATGATCAAACCATGCTCAAGTATTTAGTATTTAATATTATGGAGCATAGATCGCATAGAATTATGATAACTATTTTGAAAAGTAAAATTATAAAAAAAAACTGATAAATCAGAGCAAGAATTAATCCGGCACGTGCACGTCCCAAAAAGCTTCTCGACTGCCACGTCCTCCTTCCTCTCCCTCTATGCTGGCCACGCGTCCGCCTGACGTGTACCCTCACCTTCTTCAACCCACCACCGTACAAAGCACCCTCTTCCTTCCCATCAACGCTCACGAATTCTATCAAACACCTTGCCTGCAGAAGTCACATTAACTGCATTCCTTGCCATATTCCCCTGCCTCTGTTTCTCAGAAGATGTCGGGCCTCTCGCTTGCCGTAGCACCGCGCTCTGTCCCAGCCGCACCACCACCAACCTCCTCGGACGCAGTAAAGACCCAGAGCATGATGGGCGGGGTGATGGGATCTCTCCGAGTAATCGAGCTACAGCTGGTCGCCTTCATACTGGTCTTCTCCGCAAGCGGTCTCGTTCCATTATTAGACATCATCTTCCCCGCCTTCGCCACAATCTACGCTCTACTCATTTCTCGGTTCGCATTTCCCTCCTCTAAACATGCTTCCAGCGAGCAGCGCCAGATCTTCCACGGATCGCGAATGTTCCAAGTCTATGTAGTCATAGGGACGACGCTGGGACTTTTCCTGCCGCTTGCGTACGTTCTCGGTGGATTCGCTCGTGGCGACGATCATGCGGTGAGATCTGCAACACCGCATCTCTTCCTTCTTTCCTGTCAGATCTTAACGGAGAATGTTATTAGCGGATTGTCGCTCTTTTCGCCGCCGGTGAGAGCGATCTTGCCGATTCTATATACTGTGCGGAGGATCTTTGTGATTGTGGATTGGAACCATGATGTGTGGCTGAACAAGACAGTTCCGGCGGTGGCTCCGATGAAGGATTTAGCGTGGCTTTGGTTTGGGAGGGGATTGGCTTTGGTTAACTTGGTCTATTTTGCAGTCAATCTGTTTGTGTTTTTAATTCCGCGATTTTTACCGAGGGCGTTCGAGAGGTATTTTAAGGAGAGGGATGAGATTCAAGAGAAGAAGGCGGACGACGAGCCGGCGGGCGACGGCGAGATTCCGGCGAATGGCAAAGAAGAGAAAATTAAGAAGGATGATTGAGTGAGGGGCGGTTGTTTTAGATTTAATTTGTCTTTTACTTTCGGCGTGTCTGTGTAGAGAAACTGATTGCCTTTAGAGTTCGTAGTTGTTGAATTATGGATATGGTTTTTTACTTATTTTATGTATGCACAGAAAGATGATTCAGTCATTAAGAATAAATAATGGTTTGGATATGATGAGTCATATTAAATTAGATACTTTTATGGATGGATTTATTAAATTGAGGTTATCTTCTTGGTTTGGATTTGATTGGTCATTAAGAATGGTTTGATATTTTCATTGAGTTGATACTATATCATATAAAGCTATGGATGATTATGAAAAAGGGGTGGTTTTCCAATTCAAATGTAGACAGGAAATAAATATACAATCTCGAAATAAAATAAATACACAGAAAACTTAAGTAGAAAAATTCAAATCGTGTTACATCTTCTAGTTGGAGATAGAGAGCAAAACGCTATATCACTATAGAACGGCAATGCCACATCATTGCAGGGTGGCTCAGAGACTTAGGAGCACCATAGTGTTCCAAACTCTGGCGTTGTATTGTTGTGAGCCAAACTAGACAATATTTTCATTTCTTATGTTTAGCTTGAATGTGTGCGTCTCTTCATGTTGTAAAGTGCGTCCCTTTGACTATTTTGTATTAAAATGATGTGAAAAAGTGAAGTGAGAAAGAAAGAGATTGTACAGTTTCTCCTAGTTTTCATAGTGAATTTCTTTGCGTGGTGTAGCTCCGTTGTTTTCTTGGGTTTCAAGTTTTTCCACGATAAAACCCAATGTTCATTTGCGTTGTTTTTCTTTTCTTGTTTTTTTTGTTTCGTGGTTTACTTCCCAAAACTGGTCAATTATTTATGGTGTGAGTATTTGTTGAGGGTGAGTGCTAAGATTAAGGGATGATGTGTGAAAGGAGTTTAGAAGGTGTAGTTGTTATGTTGGTGTTAGCTGATTTGATGGACAAGAACAATTGATGTTGGATGGAGCAAGTTTGATTAAATTTATGATTTTGAATAAGTGGTTGTAGAGAAGCGTCAAGGAGAAGATATTCACAACAAATCTTGATGTAGTGGATCGTCGGAAGATTCGACCTGCAAGAAGGATTTCGGTTTCCCAATCCAGGGAAGAAGAAGAAAGGCAAGCTCAAAGGCTTCAAAGAGTGTAATATATCATTCAATGACCTCCATCCTTTACAATAGCCAACTATTTAAAGAGGAAAATAGAACTATCTAGATTAAGGAAGGTAAACTAGTCCCTAAGCATAATATAAGCTAAGATGTTCCTAAATCTTCTCCCCTTGCATAAAAAAAGAGCTCGACCCCGTCGAGGCGTGTTGTAGAGAGGGAGGTAGATGTAAAATTTATAATCAATCCACCTGGGTCGAATACTTTGCATCGCGGATCCATTGCTTCTCTTGTCCTAATTAAATCATTTTGGGATGCAATAAACCTTAGAATATGAAAAGGAACACCCATCTGCCATGCTTGAGATGCGGGAAGCATCACTTGAAAGTGGTTGATGTGGGAGATAGATGTTGTCTTCCCAAGAGGATGACTATCCAATGTCTTCTGTATTGTCTTGTCCTGAAATATTAAATCACTCTCAGCAAGGAAATTGTCAACACCCAATTGCCCGAAGTCATTAGGCATTAGCGACATTACATCGAGCACCTTGTGAGCATGGCATTGGATAGGCTTTGTCAGCAGACTTCATATCAAGCATTTGCACATTGCCAGCATCCAACTCCTCACAGGTTTGCATTAAATAAAAAAATGTGGGCAACACCTCATCCAAAAGCTCCATCGCAGAAGAGGACCCTTCGTTTTGAGAACCTAGTCTCATGCAGGACTTTAGAAACTTCATCCTGGCTAAAAACTCTCTAAATTGTTGCGTGCTCCTCATATGCATGTCCACTTTTTGTTGTTGCCTTACACTTTGCTCAGCCTTTATATTGAATTTCCTTAGAGGATGCTTGAAGACAGAACCCACTCCTCCATCTTCAAAAATAGCTATATGCTTCTTGGATTTATCCTCTAAGATCCTTGATTCTTTAAGTGCCAGACGATCGACTATCTCCTCATTATATGGCTCTAGAAATGAAACTTTCATACTATAGTGAGAATTGTGACTCTCAAGCTTATCACAGATTTGACGAACAAACCTCGTAATAACATTAACGTCATTTTGAAATTCTCCATTCTTTGCATTAGCTGTGCCTCCTTCCATGCTGTATGTTTTTCCAATATCTATCTGACTGTATGCAAAAATAGTACAGCTAAAATGCTCAAAAAATTCGCTCACAGTAGGGAAGACTGCTTGCTGAAACAAATCAATTTGAAGTGATGATGGACCGAAGACCTTCTTAAAAAGAAAGGTCTTATCAATCTGCTTGTTAACAATGTTATGAACAGTAGCAACTTCTCTCTGCTGCTTGTTGCATGATATCACCACTGGCTTGTTGCATCTCATTTCATCATCATTCGAACGCCTAAAACAGGTCAAATAATTGAAGGACATTTCATCATCACAGGAACCAAGGGGGAGTGAGAGCGAAGATCAGTTCGGAGGGAGGCGGGAGTGGGCTTAACGAAGAGATCATCGCCCTTTCTTTTGAACTTGGAGTGGTCTTTTTGTTGCAGGAAAAAGACGATGTCGCCAGTGACGTAATCAGGAGCTTCATCACCCTCTCCGGGGAAGGTGATCTTTGGCCCATTTTGCATGCCCTTCTCAACAAGAACGTCAAGAACCTTCTTATCCTGCACGACCTTCTCGCCATGGTATTGTGGCCAGCGATCTTTCTCACTGATGGTCTCACCTGTGCCTTTGCACTCGTTGCAGGGGTGCTGCATTAAATCGCTAGAGACAGGCGCTGGGATAATAGAATCAGCCATGACACCGGTGCTGGATACCCGCCTTATGTGCGTGGGCTTCTTCCGGGAAGGGGATGTCTCCGACGCTGCCTGCGGTGGAGACGATGGCTTGACCGATGGGGCATCGTTGGGGACCTTGATGACCTCCAATAGCTTATCCGTCCTGGTGGATTCCGCAAAGGCCGTGGGATTTTGAGGAGTGGAAGGAGTTGCGGGAGGTGTGGAGAGGGAGGATGCGGCTGCGGCGACGGAGTCAAATGCGGATGGAGTAGAGGAGATCGGAGGAGAAACAGAGGATGCGGAAGTAATCTGTGGAGGCGGATGCGGAAGCGAGTCATTGGGCTCCGGTGATGAGCGGAGGCGAGTCCCGGACGAAAGTCACGGGTTGATTGCAGAACAAATGGTCGGGCAAGGGAAGTTTGCAAACTTCGCGATCAGGCCGAGGATCTCGCCATCGCATCGGACGCTCGAGCGGTGGATACTTCGGTGGCGGATCACGCCATCGGAGAGGGAGCTCAAGCGGAGGGTATTCGTCAACAACGGTGGGAGAATGGCGGGACTGATGTCGTTTGCGAGGAACGAACGAGGAGAGCGAAGAAGAAGAGGAATACCTCGGTATGGTTGCCGACGACATTCTCATCTTCCTTATTGCCTGAAGGTTTTCTCGAATCCGATCAAGGTTTCTGTCTACCTGATCGAGCTATTACTTCGATTGAGCTTGATAGAAGGCGATCCGGCTTCGAGCATTGTCGACAGCCGACCTTCTTCCGCAGTCCATCGATCTTCACAAGCTCCAGGCTCTGATACCAACTGATGTAGTGGATCGTCGGAAGATTCGACCTACAAGAAGGATTTCGGTTTCCCAATCTAGGGAAGAAGAAGAAAGGCAAGCTCAAAGGCTTCAAAGAGTGTAATATATCATTCAATGACCTCCATCCTTTATAATAGCCAACTATTTAAAGAGGAAAATAGAACTATCTAGATTAAGGAAGGTAAATTAGTCCCTAAGCATAATATAAGCTAAGATGTTCCTACATCAAATCTTATATTTCAAGTGGTGTAAATTTTGATGGTGGATTGGTCGAGATAGATATAGGAATTTTGAATAAAAGAATACCTAAGAACGATATATGGAATAAAGCATGTTTCAATCTTATGAGATGAATTGAGACAATGTTATGAGTAAAGTAAACAATCATTAACATAACATTTTGAATGGTAAGAGAAAATCTAAAGGGTTTTGCACACCAAAAGGGGTGGGTGGAGAGTGGTTCATGGTGTTAGTGAGATAGACTGTAATGGCAAAGGTACGTTTCTAATATGTGAGAGGAAGTGATGCATGGGTGAGAAGTGAAAGACTAATCTCAACTATGTGACAATAATGTCATTCATGAAAATCCATCGTGTTTAGAGGTTTATGGTGGGTTGATAAGGTGAGAAATTTTATTAATGAAGAGGGATGTAATAAAAGACATCTTCAGTAACAGCTATTATTAGAGATTTTGTGCTACTTTTACAATTAGAGTGGCTGAATTATTTTTTCCACAACAACTTCACCATAACTATATGTTTGCATGTTCATTACGTTGCAATCACTATTTAATATTAGCAATTGACTTTAGTTATATAATCTCTCTCTCTCCTAAAAAATTTGCAACAATAGATTAATATTTTGCCTTTACACAAATATTGAGCACTCAAAAATAGGAGTTTGTTAGAGATAATATAATTTTTTACTTAGAAAAAATTCAAAGAAGGGGCAAAAACATGGTATCTGGCCCAATTGAATAAAACCACTAAATAATAGAAATTATAAAATCTTCCTTTCCTCATAATTGAAGAATATGTGACTAGGTGAAGTTGAGAACAATTGTCTCATTTTCATTTTAGAGACAAAATAAATTGGATGTTCATAAGCTGACTATTAAAGCATAGCAATAAGATTAAATGTTAATAATCAAGCAACAATAGTCAGGTAATAAAAGCCTACCAATCATGACTATGATTGTTGATGGTTGTTATCAGTATTAATCGTTGAAAATATAGTAAAATTATTCAGCTATCTCAACTCTAGAACATCCCTTCATGTAGAAAATAATGTCTTATTTATAGAGAGATGCATTTGGATAAATTTAGTTAGAATTTCAAAACACTCCATCGAGCGGTTTATATTGATCCATATTGACATAGATAGTTTACGTAATATCTGAGTGCCTTGATCTAAAAATAGAATGATCTTGAGTTCATTGGATTCATCTCATCAGCTGCTTGATTTGACTATAGGAACGTAACATTTGGAGGTTATT